CACTGAGGGGACAGGGATGCTGCCGCCCGGGCAGGCTGGGGCATGAGGCGCTCTGAGCCGTGGACAAGGAGGGAGGTTGGGACACCTCCTGCCTGGTCTGGGGGCTCCTAGCCCTGGAGGGGTGGGCAGGTGCCTGTTCCCCAGGAGAGCTGCCACCTCAGTGTCCTCCTTGACAGCAAGCCCTGCTCCTGAGCAGCTGGCTGGCCACTGAGCAAGCAGGAGCGGGGACATCTTTCTCTCCGTGTCCAGGCTATGCACCAGAAGAGGTGGTCCTACCTGCCCTGGACATCGAGCAGCAAGGTAGAGGCAAGATGTGGGGCACGGGACGGGAACAGGGATCCTGAGCTGCTGCTCATGTGAAGCCCCTAGGCAGCCACAGCCTCTGGCTCTGCCCTCCGTGGCTGGAACATGCTGGGGATTTTCTGACCTCTGCCAGATTTGGAACACGCTGCAAGGACATGGGACTCCAGGTTTATCTTCTGCTTCTCCTCCCACGTCTGGCAGGTAAATCGCCCCTTTCCCTCTGCTCCAGAGAGCACACCCTGCCCCAGGGAGGCTGGGTGGGATGAGGCAGCCATGGGAGCTCCGTGGTGCCATCAGAGCAGGGTTTGGAGAGAGGAAATATCCCTTGGTGATCAGCCATTTGGAGACCTGAGAGGCCAGTGGTGTCCTCCCTGTGTGCTTCTCCACAACATGGGAGGAGAGGCATCCCGAGATCCCCATTCCGATGCATGCTTGGCTCATGGTGGGGAGCTGAGCCAGCTGGGATCTCCAAGAGGAGAGTGGAAATGCCCACTGTGTCATCCCAGTGGGTCTGCAACACACCTCACTGTGCCCTGGCTGTGCCTCCTGGGCTGCGGGTGGCAAAAGTGCCTGAAAAGGGGGTGACACCTGGATGATGGATCTGGCCCTGAGGCAGGACTGGGACAGCCGTGCCCTTTTCCAGCCGTGATATACCCTCAAGTTCTCTCACCCCAGGGGCCATCCTGGACATCACCCTGATCGCCAACGTGCAGAGCCTGTCTCACTCTGACTTCTTCCTCTCCTGTGTCATGGGGGAGCGTGACGTGAGCTACCTGCAGATCGAGCGGGAGAACAAGATGGTGATGACATACCCCAAGACAGGCTTCCAAAACTACCGCAACCGCAGCAACCACGTCCAGGCCAGGGGCTTCTCCACGACCGACCTGGTGGGGATCCTCTACTGCGTGGGGCGCACCCCGACCGAGCAGGCCCAGGTGGTCTACGTGCACAACAGCCACAACGGTGAGTGGCTCCTCACTTAACCCCTCACTCACAACCCCCACCTGCCAGCTGGAGCTCCCTGCCCTGTGCTTTGCAATCCCAGTGCCAGGTGGTGTGCTGGGGGGACAGTGGTGACCCATAGGCTAGGTTTAGGGTCTGCCAGCAGCAGCGGGGTGGAGATGGGAAGGATGTTCAGCTGGAGGAGCATGGCCAAGCCCCATGGAGGAGCCGTCTGCGTTTGTAATGCTGCCTGGAAGCAGGGCAAGGTCCAAGAGGAAGTCAGGCGCCCTTGGAGGAGGTTGTGGGGTCTGGAAATCATTAACCAGAGTGAGGGGAAGACCTCTGGAGCTGTACTAGACTCACGCGCCCACCAGAGGTTCACAGGGAGGAGGTAGTGCCAGGGCATATCTTCAGCAGTCTCCACAGGCGCCTGATAAACACCATCCTGCAGCAGCACATCACTGCTCTGGCAATGGGGCTTGCTGAGAGGCACTGACAGGGTGTACTGCAGCTAAGGGCAGCACTGGGCTCTTCTCTCCCACTCCCATTTTGGAACATAGGTGAAAGGGCCTCCCTGGGCTGGCCAAAGGCAGGAATACCACCTGGGACAGCATTCTCCCACACCACTGCTCTGATCTCTGTTCCTCGCATGCCTGAGACTTTGAAAAACTATTAGGACTGAAATTTTCTGTTATAGGGGTTTCCCTCAGAATGCTTTCTAGCTCTTTGATAGAAAATTTGGATGAAACAGTAGACCTTTTGCTGAGAACAAGAAGAGATACAAGTTTTACTGCTTGTATTAAAACACAGCTTCAGCAGGCAGCTCTAGTGTCTCCAAGCTGGGGAACAGAGGCTTCTGGTGGGGTCCAAGCATCCCCCCCAAGAAGCAGGGCCCAGCCTGTATCCTCAGCCAGAGGCTTGAGATGCAAATGGCAGCAGTTCTATTGGAAGCAGTGCTGGCTGGTCTGAGCAAGCTAAGTGGCACAGAGGTGCTGAGGGAACAAGGCAGAGGCATTTGGAGACCGTGTGGGGGGCACAGTCAACAGTGGGGGAGTGAGAAGCACAAAGGGGGCTCTGCACCCCCAGATGTCTCTTTATAAATCATGCACAGAGGTGATGGCTCTGAGGCTTCACTGGTGTGACAGTGTTTCCTATGTTGGGGTGCTCCCAGCCAGTCCCCTGCTCCTGGTTTGACACAGCCAGGTCAAAATAGTGCTGTGGAGGAGGCAAAAAAAGTCTCTTTTACAAGTTCCAAAGAAGCTGCCATTGCTCTGTTTAGAGTAGGAATAGTAAAATAATACAGGAAAAAGTAAACAAAAAAGTCACATGTTTTTAAGGGGAGGGAGGGCTGGGTACAGAACCCACTGCTGGGGCTCAGTGCATGTCTCTGTTTAGCCCGAGAGCACACCAAAGCAGGCCAGGGTGATGGAACAGCAGGTGGGGAATGCTCTTAGAGGAAAGCTGGCATCTCACAGAAGGTCATGCATGGAGGAGAACATAGGAAGTATGATAAACTTTGGAAGCTTCACTGTAAAAACAAAGTAAAGCAGCCCAAAGAGTTCCTGAGGAGCAATTTCAGAAGCATTTAAATCTGGCAATAAACTATTTTTTACAATATCAAGAGCAGAAAGACACCCAGAATAACTATTGCAGAAACCCAAAATTCTCTTATTTTTTCATTCATGTGCACCACAGAGATGTTGGGGAAACTTGCTGGGAGATCTGTCTAAAATGCCAGTGTTGATAGCAGGAGACATGCAAATAACAGCAGAATGCAGCAGCACAACATTGCCAGGCACAACATTGCAGGGCTGTGCCACTGCTCACGGGACACCAGCCTTTCCTAAAAGCTTCTGGGTAGGGAGTTACAGGCTTGTAAACACAGATCAGAACCCAGAAAGTGAGTAAAAGCTGTAATAAAGAGCAGAATTTGTGGTTATGTAGTCCCTGAGAAAGAGGCAGCTGTGTTTGCAGTGGGACGGCCTCTGAGGCAGCAGAAGTGAGGATGCTGTGGATAACCCAGTTGACACTATCCACTTTAGTTCCTAGAGAAAATTGAAAAAAATCCCTTTCAAAGGCTCTTTGAGAGAAACTCTGCACCCAGGAGGTAGCAGGAGAGGTCTTTGCATGGGTAAATAACTGACTAACAGAAGGAGAGCAAGAATAGGATCTAATTTGTGGTCCCTGTCACACAGGGAAATTGTCATGGGCAGGATGTAGGGCCTCTACAAGGACCTGTGCCACCAGCTGTGGGTGCAAAGAAGTTGAACAAGCAGCCATGCTGGCTGCTGTCGCTGAGATGCCCGGGGAGACAGGGATAGCTGCACTATGGAGCGACAGGGAGATGGAGGATAGATGCACTCCGGGATGGCTACGGTGATGGAGTTCAGGCAAATCGGTGTGGACAAATGCAAAGTGCTGTGTTTGGGGATCCCCAGGGAACTTCTGGCAAGACAGAACAGAGGCACACACATCAGTAATGTCCGTGAAAGAAACATTCCAACTAGAGGAATAGGTGGGGGAGGCAATTCTGGGAATTTACCAGGAAGTGTGAGGTGCGGTGCCCTTTCCCGGGCGTCTGCAACGTGTGCTGCTTTCTCCCGGTCCCTGGCCCCAGGGGGGAAGGACACGGGGCTGGATGTGCTTTAGCTCCAACGCGACATGGCTGTTTTTAGCGTGTGCAAGCTGGAGTACTGCCAGGCAGTGAAAGCCAGCAGCCGCCTGTGTCCTCCTTTGTGTCTGTCCAGGCACGCCCAGGGCTTGGTTTCCCAGGCCTTAAGGTATTTATAGCCCGATTTGTGCTCAAGCTGGAGTCCAGCTGACTCACATTAATGCGCTCAGAGTTCATTTCTGCTGCACACCTCAGCACCTGGGGAGTGAGGAAAACAGCCATGACGGGGCTGCTGGTCCTAGGGGCTGCTGTGCCACCTCCTGCGTGCCAAATTCCCCTCACCAGCCCGTGCTGGCCCTACCTGCAGCACTCCACACCTTCCTAGCTGGCAGCAGGCAGGGTGCACCATGCAGACTAGTCCCAGATGCCATCACCAGCATCCTGTGCCGGACCGGAGCTGGCGGGGTGGTCAGAGGGCAGGTGTGCCCCTTCCCACTCCTTAGTGTCTCCCATAGGGGCTGGAGGGGCCACAAAGGAAGCCCTGTCCCTGCAGAGGTTTGAGGGGTTCCCGGGTCCAACACGGAGCAGAGATGGAGATGTTTCATGATATCCCAGCGGAAACGTGTAGTGGGTGTGTCTTGGGGTAACTGGTCTGAGGATGTCAGCACTGCCCCTGGGTGTGAGTGCTCTGGGGGGTGACCACTGCTCAGCCTGCTCCTCCTCCTTCTCCTCCTCTGCAGCCTACCTCTTCCCCGTGAAGGCCACGCAGTCAGTGAATGTCGCCGAGCCGGCCACCTTCACTGCCAGGATCCTCAAGAGGAAAGAGACAGATGTTATGTGGAAAAAAAATGGCAAGTGGCCCTAAAAGCAGACACAAGGCTGGGGCTGCTCCCAGCTGGTGCCTGGCACTGGCCCTTGGGGGCACAGGAGGCCACAGACCATCCTTTTTCCCCTTGCAGGCACCTACTACCAGACCACAGACCGGGGCGAGGTGCAGGGTGACCGTGTCATCCTGACGCTCCCCAATGTCAGTGTCAGCGAAAATGGTGTGTACAGTGCCACGTTCTTGGGGGACAGCCCTCTGTGGAGTGCCTTCTACCGCCTGATTGTGAGAGGTGAGCAGGACCACAGCTCCCTGGGGGTTGGGCACAGCCAGATATACCCTGCCCTCCAGCCTGGTGCCATCCTGCAACCCTCTCCACTCTCCCACAGCCTGCCCTGCGAAGAAATGGGGTCCATCCTGTGAGAAGGACTGTCCTGACTGTCTGAACGGTGGCGTCTGCCATGACCATGTTGGCGAATGCATCTGCCCTCCTGGGTTTATGGGCACCCGCTGTGAGCGAGGTAGGTGCCAGCTGCCCAGCAGCAGGAGCTGTGCCCAAGGCATATGTGGGAGCCCTGTTGTACCCCCAGACCTCGGCACTGTGGCTTGAAAATCCATGTGCATCCCAAGTGCCTCCCCACCTGCACTGCCCTCTGTTTCTGGAGCCAGGCTGGAGCATCCACATGGCTCCTGTGTCTGCTCAAGGTGGTGATATGGGGCTCAGGGCACCCAAGCCAGTGCTGTGCCATGCACAAACAGTGCATGGGTGAATGGCAGGTGAGGGCAGATCATGCTTCTTTTTCCAGCCTGCCGGGAAGGCCAGTTTGGCCGCAACTGCCAGGAGATTTGCCAGAGATCCCAGGGCTGCCGGGGACTGAGCTTCTGCCTGCCCGACCCCTATGGCTGCTCCTGCGCCTCAGGCTGGAGTGGCTCCCGCTGCAACCAAGGTACAGGGACGTGGGTATCCATCAGCTCACCCACCCAGCCTAGGCTTCCTCTGGGGCCTGGCTGCTCTCTGGCAGCAGCAACACCCATGCAAACCTCTCTCAGTCTGACCGTCAACAGGCTGAGCATTGCTGCTGCCTGCATGAGCTGCCTGCAGTCTCTGTCTCCATGGTCCTTCACTGGCCAGGGGTAGCAGCGAGTTCTGCCCAGCAGGCTGGCATGGGCAGCACTGTGAGAAGTCAGGTGAGGCTGGCATGGGGCTGCAGTGGGTGTAATTTCTTCACCCTTGAGTGGGCTCTGGCTCCTTCCTCACTGGTGACTGGCAGGGCCACTGGCTTTCAACCTTGGCTCATTCTTTATCCTGTCCC